AAAGGAAAATTGTGATATTAAGATGTTTTATATTTTTTAAGTCTTCATTATTGAAAGGAAATTGGTTATCCAACAAGTGGGCTTTTATTGACATTTTGTCATGTGTAGTGTTACAGCAAAGATTATGATTTGAAAATTAAAATTACGATCAAGCAGCTAATTATCAAGTTGTGGATATAGCAACCTTAAAAATAAACCACTACATGTATGATACCCAAGTTTGTGAGAAAAATTGCCTTTTGTTGCGCATAAATTTTATAATATTTTTAAAGCAAACATTGGTTAAGATGTCTGTTGAAAATATTCCTTGTCCATATAGTTGCTAAACATTTCTTTTATAAAGAAAAAGATTTACAATTTTGGATTTATGGTGCATGCATTTTGAAATGACACTAATGTTTAAATGTCATATCTGAAATATATGGTATAAGTATAACAGGAAACTTGCCCTTTTATTTGTGATAAGATAAATGAATACTTAAATTAATTAAATGCAGAACAAAAAACAATCATTTTCATGTAAAGGCAAAACCATCTTGTGGCTCAATCTAAGCAATAAAAAATATTACTAGGTATTGAAAGCTGTATTATGATTATGAAGGGTTTTTTTTTTACCAATTTCATGCCTTTGTTGATTTGGAATGAAGATGTATTTTTATTTTTTTTTCCCAAACAATTAATGAATTGTGTGATTTTATATTTTGTCTCTAACCAGACATGTATAGCAAACTGTTAAGATTTGTATTCTGAATTTGATCAATTCCAGACTGTTTGACACTGAATATGACCTTGCAACATGGTGTTGAACATGACCATTCTGGTACGATCGAGCATGATCTTTGTAAATAAGTATGACAAGGTGTCTGACTTTGATTCTTAATTAGCATTGTACCCAATAGATTTTGTAACAAGACAACATCTAATGAATCTCATTGTTCAGCAATTCAGGAGTAATGTCTGAAAAAAAATATTGAAAACATAGAAATATATTTGAATTCAAACTACTGGAAAATTTTGTTTGTAACACACTTGCATTGGATTTTGGACGAAGTTTTTGTCTTCAAATCAATATCAATATGTGAAAAAAGTAGGAGTTAGTCTACATATAATGCATGATTTTACCAATCTTTGTAATTTAACCCAAATTTGATTTGGGAAATGAAACATTTATTCACTCAAGCATTGAATTTATTAAATTATGTTGCATGAACATTGAGAAAATGGCAAAACTTTCAACAGAAATGCGATTTCTTAATGCCCGTTTCAGAAAATTGTGGTGATGAGAACATTAACAATGAACACATCAACATCTCTGTATCATAGAAAGGAAACAGAAAAACAGTGTGCCATTTGTTAGTATGTTGGAGATTTCATTGGAAATGTTCAGTTTTTGGCCAGAAAGTTGGTTGTAAGTGCAAAATAAGAAATTTAAAGTAAACATGTGGATTTTTAGTAGTAGTAGTAGTAGTGTACAAGAAATCAATATTTTAGACCAAAAGTTATACTCATGGTACCTGTACCAAATTTTGTGGCAATGTTTGTTTGGAAATACTGTATCTTTTTTAATGTAGTGCTTTAATCTTTATGCTTGTGTAGGTCTCTTGCTTTTCAAATAAAATCTATCTTCTGTAAAACACTTACCTTTTGTTATTGTTGAAGTTGTTGGAAGATTCATTAGTGATAATCAAGTACAGGTAAGCATTTTGATTCAGGTCTGATGTGTCATTAAGATTCATGGATGGAACATCATTTGTATATTTTTACAACTTAAGCCTCAGTGATTGCTGCAAGCCCACGAAGCCAACACAAATACTGACCCAAAGTCAGGGGTGGGCTAAGTGTAGGATAATTATGAGAACAGCTGCATATTACTAAGCACTGGTCTACTGTCGGATAAGTACAGTCTGGTTTTTCAACAGGGATTGTCTATATTTACAATAACTGGGTCGTATGTGAATGTTAAAGGCACAAAGGTCTGGGATTCCCGAAAATTCGGCAATGGGCAATAGAATATTTCCAAATAACATCTCCAGTTCGTCAGTCTGCACCTCTAGGAACCCTGTGTTTTGAGTTTATCTGTTGTATGTCTTACATGGATCAACTGGGAAGAAAGTCCTGGAAACATTTCAATAGGAAAAACGGAATCATCACGCTTATCAAATAGCTTGGTGGTAAGATTTCTTCTTATAAATGGAAAACATATATGAGGAGTGTTTTTTTCAGATATAAATACATTTTTGTATCGGTATATAAACAAACCATTTCTACATCACATCTTACATCTTATTTAAAGTTCGTGAACTGGTGTAGGGAACCGCCTCATTAAAAGCACACTGACCTTGCACGTGTTTAAATTTGGAAAACGTAATCAGGTAATATAATTTCGCTCAAATGGCTGAGAACAAAAGTCTAATACTTTATTGGGAAAAGTTATTATAGTAAGTAGATAGTCGTCACTTATATCTAAGACAAATAACGTGCATTTATGTTTCGTATAGAGTCACATTTAAAATTCTGTTGTCAAGTTTTCGGAGCACAAATACGAAACCGACCAGTGTGATAAGGCGCTATACCTTGCCACAGGCACTCGAGGCCAGGATATTATTTTTTAAACATTGATTTTTGTTTTAGCACTCATGACTGACGTTATTTAAACGAAATATCAGCAGAATTCAAGTTTATGTGCCGGTTGACAAATCCGAGGTCCACGGTCATTAAAAATACACAAGACAAGCAACTCCAGATTTTAAAAAATCGACCCCTCGCTTGGAAACTGGCTCAAAAAAGTAGTTTTGATAAGTTCCTTGTAAAACAATATGTATCCGTAGGTAGTGTGTATATTTACCTTTCATTTGGTGCATAACATTACAGGCAACGAGAAATTCACAATACGTACATGAGATTAACATCTCAATAACCGGAGATTTTTATCGTCCATGTAAATATCTTTGACGGAAGTTACATGCCATTTCAAGGGCAGTCACTCCGATTTTTTGGGAGAGGAGTTCCGGATAGCACTATAGGTAGCAGTAACCAGTTAATTTGCATTTTTCCTGAAATTATTTGTCATGTTTGAGATATACAGGTATAGCAGATTGGTTATGAAAAATACATCATTACATGTATATATATTTATAAACTGTATAACAATTACATTAACAGTAGAGAGATGAAATTTGTGTAAAAAAAAAAATTCCTCTGATTTCTGACATTTGATTGTCATGGTTACCTACTGAAAAAATGCTAAAAATGCAAAAATACTGCTAATTCCAATCCAACACTACAACTTTCTAGGAGAAATTTAATTCTAATCACCTATCTTACAATCAACAACACTGTCATGGTAACAAAGTACTTACATTTCAGCAAATTCCAACTCGGAAATTCTTCATAACATGACCACATGTAAACACTATGAAAATTTCACTTCCTGTAAAGCTAGTTTTTGGTGCGTAGACACAGATTCGAGACTGCCCAAATAGTAATCTCCAACACAAAGCTAAAATATTATCCTGAAAAAAATGAAACCCCACATTGTCCACTTTAACATGACAGGACCAATTTTAGCAAGGATTTTTTTTTCATTTTTAATTAAAACCTTTATAATGGGGTAATCTAATGAGCAAAAAAATCACCATGGCCACACCGAGAAACTGTGTACTGCTAGCACTATAGCAGTGAACAGGTAAGGAAGGTTCCGATGTCCTTTCGCGCGTAACTTCAAAATAGATATTTTTATTTCTACAAGTACATTTGCGGGGATGGAAAAATAATGGCTGGGCAAAGAAAGTCCACATTTGCCAACTCGGATACAATATCATGGTAAGGGATTATACAGAATGCATCAACTTTCAATCAAGCTGGCGGTAATGAGAATTTTTTTTTACGCGCGTAATGACATCGGAACCTTTTTTTTTAATGACCGTGGACCTCGGATTTGTCAACCGGCACATAAACTTGAATTCTGCTGATATTTCGTTTAAATAACGTCAGTCATGAGTGCTAAAACAAAAATCAATGTTTAAAAAATAATATCCTGGCCTCGAGTGCCTGTGGCAAGGTATAGCGCCTTATCACACTGGTCGGTTTCGTATTTGTGCTCCGAAAACTTGACAACAGAATTTTAAATGTGACTCTATACGAAACATAAATGCACGTTATTTGTCTTAGATATAAGTGACGACTATCTACTTACTATAATAACTTTTCCCAATAAAGTATTAGACTTTTGTTCTCAGCCATTTTGAGCGAAATTATATTACCTGATTACGTTTTCCAAATTTAAACACGTGCAAGGTCAGTGTACTTTTAACGAGGCGGTTCCCTACACCAGTTCACGAACTTTAAATAAGATGTAAGATGTGATGTAGAAATGGTTTGTTTATATACCGATACAAAAATGTATTTATATCTGAAAAAAACACTCCTCATATATGTTTTCCATTTATAAGAAGAAATCTTACCACCAAGCTATTTGATAAGCGTGATGATTCCGTTTTTCCTATTGAAATGTTTCCAGGACTTTCTTCCCAGTTGATCCATGTAAGACATACAACAGATAAACTCAAAACACAGGGTTCCTAGAGGTGCAGACTGACGAACTGGAGATGTTATTTGGAAATATTCTATTGCCCATTGCCGAATTTTCGGGAATCCCAGACCTTTGTGCCTTTAACATTCACATACGACCCAGTTATTGTAAATATAGACAATCCCTGTTGAAAAACCAGACTGTACTTATCCGACAGTAGACCAGTGCTTAGTAATATGCAGCTGTTCTCATAATTATCCTACACTTAGCCCACCCCTGACTTTGGGTCAGTATTTGTGTTGGCTTCGTGGGCTTGCAGCAATCACTGAGGCTTAAGTTGTAAAAATATACAAATGATGTTCCATCCATGAATCTTAATGACACATCAGACCTGAATCAAAATGCTTACCTGTACTTGATTATCACTAATGAATCTTCCAACAACTTCAACAATAACAAAAGGTAAGTGTTTTACAGAAGATAGATTTTATTTGAAAAGCAAGAGACCTACACAAGCATAAAGATTAAAGCACTACATTAAAAAAGATACAGTATTTCCAAACAAACATAGCCACAAAATTTGGTACAGGTACCATGAGTATAACTTTTGGTCTAAAATATTGATTTCTTGTACACTACTACTACTACTACTAAAAATCCACATGTTTACTTTAAATTTCTTATTTTGCACTTACAACCAACTTTCTGGCCAAAAACTGAACATTTCCAATGAAATCTCCAACATACTAACAAATGGCACACTGTTTTTCTGTTTCCTTTCTATGATACAGAGATGTTGATGTGTTCATTGTTAATGTTCTCATCACCACAATTTTCTGAAACGGGCATTAAGAAATCGCATTTCTGTTGAAAGTTTTGCCATTTTCTCAATGTTCATGCAACATAATTTAATAAATTCAATGCTTGAGTGAATAAATGTTTCATTTCCCAAATCAAATTTGGGTTAAATTACAAAGATTGGTAAAATCATGCATTATATGTAGACTAACTCCTACTTTTTTCACATATTGATATTGATTTGAAGACAAAAACTTCGTCCAAAATCCAATGCAAGTGTGTTACAAACAAAATTTTCCAGTAGTTTGAATTCAAATATATTTCTATGTTTTCAATATTTTTTTTCAGACATTACTCCTGAATTGCTGAACAATGAGATTCATTAGATGTTGTCTTGTTACAAAATCTATTGGGTACAATGCTAATTAAGAATCAAAGTCAGACACCTTGTCATACTTATTTACAAAGATCATGCTCGATCGTACCAGAATGGTCATGTTCAACACCATGTTGCAAGGTCATATTCAGTGTCAAACAGTCTGGAATTGATCAAATTCAGAATACAAATCTTAACAGTTTGCTATACATGTCTGGTTAGAGACAAAATATAAAATCACACAATTCATTAATTGTTTGGGAAAAAAAAATAAAAATACATCTTCATTCCAAATCAACAAAGGCATGAAATTGGTAAAAAAAAAACCCTTCATAATCATAATACAGCTTTCAATACCTAGTAATATTTTTTATTGCTTAGATTGAGCCACAAGATGGTTTTGCCTTTACATGAAAATGATTGTTTTTTGTTCTGCATTTAATTAATTTAAGTATTCATTTATCTTATCACAAATAAAAGGGCAAGTTTCCTGTTATACTTATACCATATATTTCAGATATGACATTTAAACATTAGTGTCATTTCAAAATGCATGCACCATAAATCCAAAATTGTAAATCTTTTTCTTTATAAAAGAAATGTTTAGCAACTATATGGACAAGGAATATTTTCAACAGACATCTTAACCAATGTTTGCTTTAAAAATATTATAAAATTTATGCGCAACAAAAGGCAATTTTTCTCACAAACTTGGGTATCATACATGTAGTGGTTTATTTTTAAGGTTGCTATATCCACAACTTGATAATTAGCTGCTTGATCGTAATTTTAATTTTCAAATCATAATCTTTGCTGTAACACTACACATGACAAAATGTCAATAAAAGCCCACTTGTTGGATAACCAATTTCCTTTCAATAATGAAGACTTAAAAAATATAAAACATCTTAATATCACAATTTTCCTTTTTTGATCCCATAAACACTTGCCTCCTGTGTCATCAATAGCAACCCTAATACAAAAAAGATATTTTTTTTGGAGGAGTTGCCATATCTATCCCGTAATAAGCCCAGGCATGGAAGTAAACCCACTGACATATTTTGCAGTTTCAGTAGAAATACCAAATGTTATACTGTCTTGTGATAAGTCTAACCCCAATTTTGTTCACTTCAAAGGCTTATTGCAGGATGAAAAGTACAACACACATTGTGTAAATATCTGGACTTTGCAACTTCCAGTCTGTCAGCATTTTGTAGCAAAATATATGCTATCAGTATTTACACCAGGGCACCAAAGAATGGAACATTTCCATCAAGCTCTACACTGGGAGAGAGATTTCCAAACATCTCGTTTCTTGGGCTTTCAATTCTGTCCCTCAGTTTTTCCTTCAGAATTCGTCGTCGTCTTCCTCCTGTCATATTTTTTGAGGACTTTTTATATGGACATGCCTTTTTGGTAACACTAGCATTGGACATATAGGAGGATGCACTACTGATGGAGCTGTGGCTGGAAACGCAACTAGACACTGAGCTGGTGCGATGGACTCTGACAGGCCCAGGAGCTGAGGCTGGAATCTCAGATGGCTCATAGATGAAGCAATCCAAATCCTTCTCCAACAGGTCCGGAAATGGGTTTTTCATGGAGAGCAACTTCTCCGTGTTCATTTCTACAAGTAATAAGAAAATATGATGTGATTTCACAACAAACAAAAGATCCCAGAGGGATCTTGATGACCACAATTGTTTGATCTTTATTTGCTCTTTGAAAGTTGGATCTTTTCCCTTCTTTTCTCTTCTTTGTTTTTGCTCTTAATGATAAGAAATTTGAACATTCCTTTGCAGAAAGAGCAATGATAGTCTTTACCTGCCAAATCCAGAATGGTCACCTGGAAGCCATTTTGTTTCTTCTAATCAGTACCAAAATCAAACAGACATAACAAGGGATCATGGGAAAATTGAAGGAGGCAGTCTGTCGGCCATTTTGTTTTTCTGATCAGACCCAAAATCAAATGGGTACAACTAGGGACCAAGGAGAACCCACATATGAAATTAAGAGAGATCCATCCAGTGCTTCTCAAGAAAAAGTGAAAACAAAAATTGTTTTCAGATGGACAGATGATGGACCACAGATGTAGGGCAATTTGAACAGCCAGCCATGATAGTGGGCTAAAAATTCTGAATCTAACATTATATAGCACATGTCATTAACATAGTAGTATCACCTGAAAGGTTGCTATGTAATACTTGTATGATGCTAGCCATTTTGATGAAGCACACTGAGCAAATCATGACTACAAAATGCATTATCTTTTCTTAAAATTACTTTTTCACTACATGTATTTTTATTTTTCTATCTGATCAATAATTGTTCCAAGTCTTAGAACTTCTTCCATGAACTTCTTTTCCAAACTTTTGACTTTCCCATGCTAGTGGAAGACACTAGTTTGCTCAACCTTGAAATCTTATTCATAAAGTTTTCAGTATAAATGTAAATTTGCAGGACCTTAACATTTTCCCTTAGACTATAGCAGGCCTCAACGTTAACTTTTTTAGTATTTGCCCAGCAAGTGCTATTCAATTTCAACTTGCCCGTTGCCGAAATTAACTTGCCCATAAAAATGATGTTGAATTATTAGGTTTTTACTCTAGTATAAACATTGCACTGTATATTCCTTAAGATTGTCTTTCATTTACAGTCTCTTAAAATGTAATGAATTAACAAGTTTATGTTTTTATTCACAACTAGGCCTTCGTGATCTTTCACCAGCTTCCCACCAGTGCTTCATAGCCAAGTTTGGGTCAAATTCTGAGGTACTTGGTCCATTCACTGAAATCCTCCTCAAATGGTCATTTGATTGTGTTCTTGTTTACTGTCTGATCTTTTTTGCTTATTTCCATCATTGCAATCAGCTTGTCTTTTGCTAGTAAACCTGAATTTATGTAACAACATACTGCATACTGGCTTCATAGTCAACAGCGAAATGAAGTTGCCTATAAATAGAATGGGAAATTTTGCGCATGCACCTTCCTACAATTCCATATCGGCAGTAGTCTACTTTCTGTTCAGTGATGTAAGTTTAGTGACAAAACATGCAGCTTAAACATATTCTTTCTATTTCTTGACACTTGTAATTTCAATTTGTGTTAATACCAGCTTTGTCTTTATTGATAAAATATGTATGTGTTTGTTTCAAGATTCTATTACCGATATATTTTGTCTTGACCATTTCGCAGACTAGAGCATGCGCAGTGAACGTCAGCGACTGTGAAACCATCAACTATTTCTAGGTAGTCAGTTCCAATATATATGTCTGTCATTTAATTAAAGGAAACATTTGTCAAGATGTGTTATTTTAGGGTTTACATTTCAGGGAGAATTAAGTAAGAAAATGTAGATATGATCTTCAATACAATATTTCTACCGGTACCAGACATGATCCTTGACAGAAGACTTTGATCACGTATCTGGCTGAATGTTTTTTGTGAGATGGATCGGGCAAATTACTGGTAAAATCATGTTGCCCGACACCAATTTTCACTTGCCCCCGGCAATCGGGCAACCATTAACTTCGAGCCCTGCTATAGAAATTTCAAAGAAATTTCCTTAGCTCATTTAACATTACCATCTGATAAAGTTTGCGAATGGATTAATTGGAAATGAAAGGGTCAGTGGAATTTTATCCATAACCCTATAGAAGTTGAGATTCAAACCCAGATTTACTTATTCTCAAATTCTGTCCTAAGGTTTCCTTGGTTGATATTGGTGTACTTACTGTCTATTGTAACAAGAGCTTCAGCAGCAGAAAGGCGCTGTGTTGGGTTTCCTGCTAGCAGTCCAGTCAACACTTGTTTCATATCTGGGCTACAACCATCAGGAATCAAACATCGCTGCACAAAGTTGGGGTCTTTCACCAGCTGTCAACAAATCCAAAGATTCAATTTTTCACCACTTTAAGGTGTCAAGCACTAAATAACAGGCAAAACAATAATAATCACAAATCATAAAATTATTATTCATTAAAAGAATTATCTACTATAACCAAGGGCACCAAGTGTTTCTACTTTGATTAAATGTTTATATTTTGAACTGTCCTGCTATGGCATTCATAACAAACACAAATGTTTATTCTCTATGCAGGTTGATGTCTTATGCCAAGAATGATTTCTTTCAGATATCAACTTTTATTATTGACAAAATAATACAAGAAATAGCACAACCATTTTGACTGTGATCTGTTGCCATTCCCATACCCACAATAATGATGTTAAAATGAACACACTGGATGTCATTTATTAAACCATAAATCACACTTCTTAATGGTTAATTGATTTTATCATGCAGGAGTAAACTATGATGTAATAAACACTGATGAACTTACGGACACAATGATTGTAGATTTCACTTTAGTTGGATCTTCCACATTTTTGTAGTTGTCCTGTCCGTTTGTGAATGCATGCAAAAGTAAATGTGTTTTCCGGTACATAAATGCCATAGTGAGGCCCCAGCTGAATACATCACTCTTGGGTGTTACCATCCAGTCCTCCTGATCTTGGAGGGACATCTGTGTATATCGTGACTTTAGAAAGCTGATACAGGCCTCAGGGGACATGTATTCAGCTGTCCATCCAATGTATGAGAGTGGATCCTGAGGAAATTTAGCAGACCCAAAGTCTGTAATTTTCAGGGTCCAACCAGTGGGAGTTTCCAAGATGCAAGCATTCTCCGCTGTAACAAAGTGGATAGTCTTCATATTAAGGATTCAATTTGGTTACAATGTCTTCATCCCCATTTTAAGTTTGCTTGTATTTTCCCATGTCTTTGCAAGTCACACCATCCATTTACACAAGTAAGTATGCTCCAGAAATACCATCAAAATCGGATGTATCGTTTGTATATACAAATATAGGCTTTTATTAATTACACAATGATTGTAAAACAATTTACTCAAACTTTTATTAATCACACTTGTTTGTCTGGATTAAAGCATGCAAAGAGTCTTGTTGTGAAAGGATAGAGGTGGTTGGGCAGTTAACTCTCTATCATTCCATATTTGTCCAAGTGTCCAACCCCAGATGTCTAAATGAGTGTTTTATGTTACAACTGTGCCATCCAACCACCTACTGATTAGCTGTGGACTAGCAACATTTGAAAGGAAATGATAGATAAATGCTGTGTGCCATGGGCTCAGGGGTCATAACAGAAAAGTAAAATAACATTCTTCTATAATTTTGCTGCACAGAATAAATTAATATGGGTGGGTTTATTACCAGATATGAACATATCAATACAATGATATTTTTTTTCCATTACTTACGTTTGATGTCCAGGTGAATGATTCCGTAGATCTCCATGTATGCTAGTGCAGACAGACCCTGGCGGTTCACATTCCAAACGAACTCTTCCGTCACAAGAAGTTTTGTGTCTTCCCCCAGTGTAAATGTCAATATTGAAATGCCTATAAAATACATAACTCACTTCACACTTTCTGTAAACATGTATTTTTTGTGATATGAAATTCCAAAACTTTTTCTTAAGGATATGCAAATTAGACAAAACAGGTGAGAAAATTATCTATGTAAATTGTAACATATATTTTACTATAATAAACTGTCCTCGTTTCTTTACTTAATGCTCTGTGTATGATGAATCAACATTCAGTTCTATATCAGTGTAAACCAATATCCTGGAATTTCACCAGGAGATCCTTCATACATTTCTTTTAAATCTAGCTATGGTTAAGTTTTGTGACCATTTATATGGTTTCCATTCATGTTTCTTAGTGTTGCACAATATCATTATTTGAAACAAGCCATGACCTTACCAGCATACTCCATATAGATCTCGTTGGAACCCTCTCTCTGGATGACACCATAAAACTGGGTGATGTTTTGATGCTTAAGGGCCATCATTATTTCAACCTCTGACTTCCTGTATTGGGACCCCACCTAACAAAAACAAAATAGCTCACCTGTTTACTTTCTCTTATTGTGTCAATACTTGATTTTGATAAGTTCATTTGGGTGAAATTTAAAATTCCTGGCCACCAAACATGACAGCAGATACTAATACAATTATGAAAGTATTAAAATAAATTAAAATTATAGTCAAACTTTGATTTTTGGAAGTTCAAGGGACTACAAAAAAAACCCCACTTGGTAGAAACACAATAAATACTAAAACAAAACATCAAATGAAAAGAAACAACTTTATCTTAAAACGAAACATTTTCATTCATGAAAAAATAAAAATATAACTTTAAATAGAAATCAAAGAGAAATAGATAACACAAGCTCAGGTTTACATTCCTGCCTTCTTGTTAATGCATACAGAATACGTATTTTATGGATTGATTTTAAATGAAGCGACGTGCAGCATCAAAGTGGTCTTTATGTGTTACAGCAACTTTTTTTAAGACTGATACATAAATGTTATAGGCACTAATGCAGGGTTAGAAAAATCCACTCGTCCACTCATCTGGGCGAGTCAAAGCTACTTGCGGGTGAGTGATTTGTTTCAGCTACGAGTGAATTTGTAGTTCGGACTATAGAATATTCCATAATAAATGACGTTTATCAACTTAAACACTCCTAAAACTAATTTAAATCCACTGATAGTCGATAAAATACATTGATGTAGTATCCTTGTTTACACAATGTGTCAAGACTCGGGCTGATCCAGACTACACGAAAACCTATTACGTCATCACAAATGTTGTAAACAAGGTTGTTTTGTGTACGTAGTTACAGTCAAAAAGTTGATGTTCTCGCTCGTGTTAACAGTGAATTTAATATGAGTAAAACAATAAAAGCAAGTGTTGAGTTCAAACATTTGATATAGAAATTGATAATAAAATTCATGTTCCTTAAATTTATGTTTTGTTGCCTTTTTTCTTCGGGTGTGTGAATATTGGATTCAGGCAAGTGAATTTCAAGTTTCACTTGCCCGACAGACGAGTAACTAAAAATATTTTTTTCTAGTCCTGCTAATGAATTATCTTTTATTAAATATCATGGCTTGTAAGTAAGCTAAGCTCTAATCTGTGTACAGTCATTCATTAACCTGGTAACAGAGCCAATAACAGTACGTTATTATAATCCAATTGTCAGGTAGTACTCTTTGTTAAAATGTGTGAAATTTCACAGCGGGGTGCAAATACCTGTACCGTACAGGTAAATGTTTTCTTCAAATCATGAGGCATCAATGACTGTATTATTATGAATAATGACTGTGAAAAAACATTGATGCATCAAAAATTTTGATTTACAAAGCTTCGATTCATAATGGGATAAGTTTGTAGTGATATATAGGAATTAAATTTTGGACTGACAAAAAATTCCACACATCCAGAAATTTGAATCATCAAAGATTGATTCATAGAAGTATGACTGTAAATTGGCTTGATTTGGATTATACACAAACAGCAAGGGTCATTCAAAGATGGCCTCCTGATATATACAAGGTGAGTACAAGTATTGCCTGTGTTTTGGGAGGCTCTGATGTGTTCATGTAAGCCTTCTTATGATAGTTTTGGACTGAAGCATATCTGCTGGAAACAACCCCCTGAAAAGTCCTGGCTTGCATTCTTTATATAACAGGGTTGATCTTTAGCAACCATGCAATTTGTTAAATATTATACAATATGCTGCATAAACACTAAATTTTCTGCATATGCTAGGTTAAAATTTTAATTTAAGCTTGATCACTGCTTAAATAAAGTCATAAAAACAGATTGCAAGAAATAAAGACATAAATTTACCTGTTTCTTGACAAACTTGGCCTTGGTGACTTGGTCTTGACACAGTTTTACCTCTCCAAAGCTTCCTTTTCCCAAAACATATTTCACAGAGAAGTGATAATCTTCTGTGTATTGTCCTCCCTTAGGTCTCAGCTTCTACAAAGATCAGTGTATAACAAGCCATTGGTGACTGTGTACATGAAGACGACCATTCATGTTGATAGACAAAAATCCTGGTAGATAAATTTCAGATGCATGGTAAATAGGATGTTATCTTGATTTCTGTGTACAAACAGTACTAATATTTTTATCTCATTTTATAGAAAACATACGTTGTAGCATTATTTTCACGAAGTTTAACTTTGTCAGGGCACAGGCTAACCACTCATCAATTTGTTCTGATTGGGTAAAAATTAAAATGAACAAGTGGAACTACAACATTCATCCCATTGCCAAGTGAAAATGATAGATACATAATGAAACACATTCAAAAGTGACTTGGTTTCAAAATAAACAATTCCAATAAATCCATGATAAACCATTTTCTTGTTTTGTGGTAAAATTTGTAAGCAATTTGAACAAAATTAACTTATTATATTTTACGAATGAAGATAAAATAAGTGGCATTTACAAAACCTGCTTGATGTAAAGTAAAATATTCAAAGTGCCGATGTGGATGTTAGTGGTTTGTAAAAAAAATTATCTTGAGCCCTGATAAATTCAAATTAATGAAGCAAATTTTTCATCTTTCACGTTTCACTTTAAATAATCTCGAGTATTATAACCATAGATATCAATTGCAACAAGTTTGAGGTAAATGGTGGGATCTTTCTTGGGTTTGTCAACTGGTTTCGCCTGAACTTATGTGGGGTTCATCAGGACACCAATTCTACAAAAATTAAAGTACATAAAATATGGGCCTGTTTTTTATGACGTAGACAGAAGAGTCGCCCGATACACTAAAAATCATGGCATTGGCTCTATTCTTTAGTAGCATGATTAAGTATTATAAAGTATGTGCATTATAACTTAAGGAAATGAAATATAACTACAGCAAAGAATACATGCAACATACTTTCCTCGATACTCCTGGTATTACAATCACTTTCACTCTCTGCACCCCAGGAGCCATCCTCAATACTCTAAGGGTTACAATCACTTTCGCTCCCTGCACCCCACAAACCATCCTCAATACTCCAGGGGTTAAAATCACTTTCGCTCTCTGCACCCCTGGGAAATGTTATGGCAGACCTGAAGGCTCAACATGCGAAACCTTGTGGACATGATGAAAAGACTAGTTTGATCCTTTGATGTGCATTAAAGAAATCTCGGGGTTGCATAATGGTATATTGTGATGGTTTTGAAGTTGGGTTGTGCCATTTCTCTGTAATCTTCAAAAGAAGCGTATCAGCCTGTGATTGGTCAGTTTTTATCTGTGAATAAAATTACTTTGCTTTTGTCTCCAGTTTTGCCATGACTTGTTCCATGGTATAGAGAGCAAGTGTGATTGTAACTCCTCGAGAATCAAGAAAGGCAACATACTTACATCATTTAGTATCACACCATGGGTCCCGTGCGATGGTAGAAATTCACTTTTGTCCAGCATTTCCTTGCATGCCTTATTTGTTCCAAACACAACTTGACTGAAAAAGTAAATGTCACAATGCATTCATTATCCCTTACATTGAAATATCTATCAATATTTTCATCCAGGTATGAGAGCCATCATGAAACATAGTGGTATCTTAATGAAACAGATAATGCATAAATTTCTATATATCTTCTTTAACAGCAAAATATTAATTTCTCTTGCTAGACAGGTTTTTTCTTAAATAAAAATTAAGCAAAAACTTTAAGAAATAGTAAGAAAAAAATGCAATATCAGAAAACTTCTCTCAGCCCACGATTGATTTCTTTAATTACCTCCCCTTAGAGTTAATTCCCCCCCCCCCCCCCCCCCCCCCCCCCCCCTCCCTTGTAGATTGGGTTAGACTCCTTGTAAAACAGAATTACTTACTTTTTCTTGAAACTGGATGATGGTATAACATCAGCCTTCTTCTTAGCAAATTGCAATAGAAGTGCATGCAGTGTCTTCTGGAAGTCCTCTTGGTGGTTTCCAGTTGTCAAATTTATATTGAGATGAGATAAGTCTTCTAAGGGCTTTGGACCATCGCTGCGCACCTGAACTCCGAGACATGGAACTGTTTCTTCTATAAAGACTCTCTCATTTTTTTCATTGACAGCTTGAAAGTCTTCACAGATTTTTTTGTCAATTGTAGAGTTTTCTCCAGGAAAGGGTTTTTCCAATTCTGTGTCAATCTCTTGGATCATGGCAGGTAAATATGTAGGGTGTACATTATCAGGGTCTTGAAACTGGAAACGTGGTTCCCCAACAGTGTTTTCTTCATAATTTGGTTGCTGATCACATTGCAGTTGCATTTTCTCAATGAACAGAGTGACATTCTCTCTCTCTGGTGAATATGGGTGCGTCTGGTTTGCGATGATTTCTTTGGTATGGAAACTCTCATGGTTGTATAGTTGTCCAGAGACTTCCACTGATGTACTGCGATACGTTCCAATGGCAAGCTTTTGGGTGTTCTCTGTGTCATCCTCTGGTTGTGCTTGAATGCCTAATGTATGTGGGTGTTGAAAGACTACATCAGTAGATGGTGTTGCAACCTGCATGCGTGGGGATACTTTGATCATATTGTAAAAATTTTCTGTAATGTCAGAGCTGCTGACAGTATCCATGGCGATGCAACTCCCTCCACTGAATCCATGGTTATTTGTTGTGGTGGTGGTCAGGTCTTTTACCTTAGGGGAGAGAACTCTAGTTCCATACTTTCCACTTCCTTCTGGTAATTAAGAAATTAGAATCTTATATAATAGCAAGAGTAATTTGCAAACAAATAAAATTTTGAAAAATCATGTCCCCTGTAGATGACTTTTTCAGTCTTTAACAATATAAGGATGCTGAGCTGGATCAAATTTGACTCAAACTACACCATCTCCTACATTGTTCACTCTCCAACAATACCACTTTGCCCTATCCAAATCTTTTGTTATTATGCATGGAAAACAGAAACAGAGTAGGGCCAAATCAAGTCCTCTCATTTCCCTATTAAACACTGTACATGTATTTACTCACTGTTAATAATACAACACTGAGTTCTATTCACTAATGTTTATAGTTTGCATCAATATCTGTCTAACAGTTTGGTATAATTCAATGGCAGATTTTCACATATTTTCTGATGAAATTAAGTTCTTTGATAAAGCAGGTTCTGTTTTATTGATTTTAATGGCAGAGGCTCGCCATTTTTATCTATCTTCCCCCTCAATAAACTGATCATGTATTTTATTTATCCTGCAACATTGACTGAAAACAGAACATTAAAACTTCAAAAGTTTTGTTGTTCACTATTTGTTAACCTGACATTGACGTTACGCTGAATTTTGCCTGATGATGGATGCCAAAGTAACTGTTCCACAAGAAAATATGTTTTCAAACTTCATCGGATATAACGGCGATTTTATAAATATTCATAGATCAACATGTTTATTATAACATGTAAGATCACTTCTTTCAACAACTATTTATATTTCTAAACGCAATATAGAAGTAAATTCAGGGAGTAATTCTAATGAATTCCTGCATGTGCTAAAATACAGGTGTTTTCCGTCTCTACCAAATGCAGCTAAAATATATGTGGCAGGTGTATTCTGACAAGCAGCGCAAGTTGCGGGATAAATATCATTATTATTACCAGATGGAGCAACAAGCAGTTTTCCCAACTGCTTTCTCTTAGCTGGAGCTAGTGGCACACTTGGAGTTCTCTCCCCTGTGTCATCCGTCATGTTTCCTGAAGATAAAAACAAACAGGTTTATGAACAATGATGAAATCTCATTCCCATGAAGCAGAGTTTCAGGATGTATGAAACTCATATTCAGTGATTTTTTTAATCCCTTAAATTTTAGACCTCGTTACATCCGTAGTATTGGGACTCATCAAATTTTTAGAAATGATCTGGACTTCCCTTAAAAATTCTTAAAACAAATACTCATGTTTTAATGGGAGCAGTATTACTTCAATATATAACAAATTCTAACATAATACCTTAGATTTATGTCAGTGTATAACTGCACTTATAAACAGAAAAGGGGTGTGTAACATGACATTTCGAGGAAATTACACCAGTGGTGTAATGATAGGTCAACTTATCAATGTATTGCAATAGCATTGCTCTCAATAGCAATAGGTGGAAAGCATATTTTCAAGTCGCTAACTAATCTTATTAGTATAAATATAGTTCACAAAGTATATAAAAACACAATAGTCTGTGATATTATGGTGGAATTCATTTTTCTTGAATGATGTCTAACTTCCAGTCAAACATCATAGGAGTACATCCTTAATTTCTGTTTGCCCAGACTCCTAAGACTTAAACTTCTACAACTTGTTAGTGTTTCATAAAATCTTGTATCTAAGATATCTAGGTATCTTTTAATCTTATCACAGACTATGAATAGAATATAGGTGTTTCATAGAAGAGAAGGCAATTCGAAATCTGATCAAATTTAAAACTATGTTGTACAACCTTCTTGTTAGTAGGAATCTCAGCAATAAATACTCCACAGGTTTTTTTTTGCTTACTTCCTGTCATGATTATTGTGCAATAAACTTTTTCTAGCAAATAAATCTCAAGTAACAATATGCCAATATTACGACGAGTAACTTACTTTTCATCGTTTTCTGTTATCAATTAAATCTATTTACCAATATTACTGAGAAATATAAGACAATCTGTGCTATCTACAGAACGACTCATTTTTCTCAGAATCACTCATCCATAATCACTGCGCCCCACAGTGTAGGCCTACTTTCAAATTTCCTCTTCTTGACATTGTTCAACAAAGGTAAACATAAAAATCAGGGCTGCTTTGAAATCCAATTGATTATGATCTTTCGAAAGGGAGCTGTCACATCGATAATTGATTAACTTATCAAAATGTCACATACAACTTCGATAAGTTTTCGCCATTTGCATTTCGTGACGTAAAACTTGACAATCGGGCGGTCATTTTCTGCGTGTTAAACTGAACCATAAACTGCGAAACTGACAGCGACATGTCGATAAAACCAAATACTAGTATATTAATTTCTCTAAAGACTAGCAAATTTACCGGATTCGGGATAGAAATCCAGAAACTCATCTGCCGTCTTCCTCATTGTCATTTTCCTGATGTCCCGTATTTTCCATGACGTATTGGAAATCCCCTAAACACGCCACCAGTTAGTTAATTGGGGCGAAACGTTCTAAGGGTTATCTCCCATGCTTCAACCGCCAGCGTATTGGACTTTCTTGCTTAGAACATATTGCGATTACATGCTCAGCTCCCAGAACCTGTTTTGTTTTTTGTTCGATATGTATAATCTTAAAGATGCAATACATCATATAAGATCGATGAAGCACGTAATACACACATTCCGTTTCATCAGAATAAACTTGAAAAAAATATAATCGGAAAACAATATCCAAAAACACATGGCATTCTATAAAAAAAATCAGAAAAAAACCCAAAGAAATTCATTCGTTTGTAAGTGATTTCCCTAGATACATCATAGCAGCATAGACTTACTTTCTATATTTTCACTTTGTTGATTTCCATACAAAGTGATATATGAGGAACGAGAGGCACTGCATACCGTCAGGGACGTCCCTGATACCGTTGAGAGTTATAAGATGTATAAAACAGGAAAGAGTTAAGATTTTAAACAGTGAAGCTGTATTGTGACCTTGTCTTAATAACAAATCAAGAAATAGAAAATAAACTGTAGACATTTCTGAAGAGTATTCTGACGATTTCTTAGCTTCCGCTGAATGGTCAAGCCCAAAAATCACGTAAATCGTATTGCAATGAAAACTTCCCGAATGAAAGTTGTTCCTAATCAACAAAAAGGGTTCGGATATCAGATAATCAAATCAGCAAGGATTTAAAAAAAAACCCGGAATGAATGAAAATAGACTGAAAATCATTTGATGAGGTCAAGCAATACTATTATTACATTTTTGTCGGTGAAAAATAGGAATTTAACATTAATGTGATAGATATATGCTTGTTAGGTAATGATAAAATCTTATTTTCATTATCTGCATGATTTTTTTCTTATTTTTTTTTTTTTTTTTTTGAAAAAAAATTCTCATTACCGCCAGCTTGATTGAAAGTTGATGCATTCTGTATAATCCCTTACCATGATATTGTATCCGAGTTGGCAAATGTGGACTTTCTTTGCCCAGCCATTATTTTGAATTTCTCGTTGCCTGTAATGTTATGCACCAAATGAAAGGTAAATATACACACTACCTACGGATACATATTGTTTTACAAGGAACTTATCATAACTACTTTTTTTGAGCCAGTTTCCAAGCGAGGGGTCGATTTTTTAAAATCTGGAGTTGCTTGCCTTGTGTATTTTTAATGACCATGGACCTCGGATTTGTCAACCGGCACATAAACTTGAATTCTGCTGATATTTCGTTTAAATAACGTCAACCATGAGTGCTAAAACAAAAATCAATGTTTAAAAATAATATCCTGGCCTCGAGTGCCTGTGTACCTTGCTATCTGTGAGTATGTTTTGAGTAATGAAAACGTGATCTCTTTTCTTTCACGCTTGCATGCGATTCATCCTTCCAATTTGGCATATTATGTGACGTGTTATTTATTTCAACCTCGTGGTCTCATAAACTATCCCGTTATAGCACAGATTGATTAGGTCAACCTAATATTAGCCAACCAATCACTTCCCCAAATCGTAAAAAAATACTATAACTATGTCTAAAAATTTCAAATTCACAATTTTTGGATATAATAGTCAACATATTGTTCAAACATAGCGAAGAACGATACCAAATATAAACAGGTGTGATAGCACTAGAATTGATTGACCCTGAAGAACGCCTCTGTCATATTGGTTAATCTTTACATCATGGCCAGATATTTGAGAGATACATAAAACTAGCTAGGCTGGCGATGTCACGTACATAGATATAAACATTCAAGTCTGCACTGGCAGATCCAGAGGAGGGAAGGGTTGCGCACAGGGAAAATCGCAACTTACACGTACGAAACGACAGAAATAGTTTTCAGTCAAATTTCAAAAATCAATTTCATTTCTTATCGAAGACACAGTCAAAATTTTTTTCTTTTTTTTTTTCACAGCTACGGACAGGGGGAAAATATATCTGAAGAGAATGATCTCTTCGCAAGAAAATGTATTAACGAATTTTGAAGGAATAAGCAGACGCCGGGCTTCCAGAAGCGTAGCTGCCTTTACACCTATGTTTAGCATATCTTAATGATATACAGATAACACTAGAACACAAATGATAGCTGAACCCCAGAGATTTGTTCTCTTTACACGAATTTCAGTAAAAAATGCTTGCCATAAGTACAACCGATACAAGGGAGGCTACTCAAATTTATTTCATAGCGTCAAAGGAGACACGTTTAAGCGACCCCTTACAAAATATCCATGGCGGGAAACCGGTATTTTTCTGATGAGGAAAAAATAGTGATGATAATAAAAAAAAAGTTTGACCAGACTGAAATAAAAAAAAAAAAAATGACCAAATCATGATAAAAATTGGGAAATCCGATTGGGACTTCCCCTTAATTTCCTATCAAGCTATTTTCCCCAAAGAATTCGAGGGTTAGAAAAGCAGGCCCATGTCTACACAATCAGGAAAATCGCCAGCGTTGGTAGATTCTATTCTGCATCACATATATTTCAGGTATTTATAAGGATTTTACCTTATTGGCAATAATTCGCGATTGACAAGCCTAGACCATTAATTAATCAGGGGCGTAGCTAGCCCAGCAGAAATGTGTAAGCCCAGGCGAGGGGTCTGAATTTCATTATTTCAAAGGTGTTTTGAATCGTTTTCTGAGACATTTTTTTTTATTGACTTACAACAAACTTCAACCCCTGATATTTATTTTCAACCTTAGTTTTGCAATTTTGTCCGACATACTCTATGCACGGATTTTTTATGTGTAATCCCGGGCTTTTTCTTTCTATGGAAGCTACGCCCCTCTGAATATAGTTTATATTTTTGGAAATGACTCTTCGGCCTGACTGTTTTGAGTTATTTATAGAAAACTCGATAATTTGCAGTAAATTGCAGTACATATGAAAGATCTAGTCTCGGTTCTATCTGAAGCTACTATGTATGAATAATTCCGTTAGAATCCTGAAACCTGTAAGTTTAAAGTAACTGTGTATATAGTTACAGTATTGCTGGCCTGAAAGTGATTGCGTCCCTAGACGAATCTCCCGTTCTAAAAAATTGCAAACGGCTAGTGGGAATATCCCTTTAGTGTTGTCCAGCTAGAGAACGAAGGGTAGCTAGTCTGAACCCCAGCGGTAGCAGGGTGGTTTTCATTACTCCTTCCTATTACATACATGGCTCCCATATTTAGCATCAAGAAAAATACAGAAAATACACCATGCAATTGCTTTTTGAGAAATTTAAGGAAGGTTGATATATGTAACATTATATATTTCAATGTCTGTGCGAGTAATTGAACCAGGGACCCAGGTCTTAAGGTAGCACTCAACCAAAGGAGCTAGAGGAAAGTTTTCAGTATTCAAGTGATATACAGCTGCCACTACTATTTATCAGTGTTACATATATTTAAACTTGTCAATCTTTCATTAAAACTTTCAAATATATTGAATATGAAGGAAAATTTAGAAGTCTGACACATACATAAATGAACACTGAACCCTTCAAAAATACTTAACTGGTCATATAAAAATATTTAACTACATACTGTCAGTTAGTGTGAAGTATATATTAGCCTAGTAACTGAACTCCTTAATCTTCAGAGCAGTGGGGAAGGGCCCAACAGAAAAATATATGTAGCCTTTTGTAATTCAGTTTTGTATAAACTGAGTGGCCATTTTGGGGACATTGATGATAGGATTGGATAGGGAAAATAGGGTATAATTAAAGTATCTTAAATGAGGTAAAATTAAAGTATCTTAAACGAGGTTCCATTTTGTTTGTGAGTTTATGAAACAAGCAGTCAAAAATTTGAAAATAAAAAAAATGTGACAAGTGTCATAATTCAACTAGAAACAAACATAAGATCCTTTTATTGCTCAGTATCTCTAGAAAATATTGTAGACAGATGCATAATGTCATGTTCCTTCTATATCTCTTAGCTCCATTGTTATGTCACAATGCAGTCTATGAATAGAACATGATATGTGTGGTTCAAATGAACACTATCGTTATTAGTTTTGTTATTAGTATTGTTTTATAGGAAGCTCAGAGATCATGGATTGTCCTGTGTTAACAATGATTGTGTTCTTTGTCAAGGCACTTTACCACAGTTACTTTGGATATCAAGTGACGGGCCTCTCAGATGTTGTTCAGTAAGGCCACAACCTGCTTAATCCTTACTTTTAATGGGTTGATAATCTGAGTAAATTTTGACTAAATGTGCAAAATTGGCAAAAGTTAAATTGCACAGGCCTGTGATAATTTCCCTGTATATGTGTAGTGTGAATGTTTAGTAAATGAAATCCAAAGGAGAATGTAGAATGCATAATTATGATAATGCTTATATTGAAAGACACGCTTTCTATTTTTCAGTGCTATGATACTGCTCTGATCCCGATGGTTATTCCCATGTTCACGCCTTCCACATATCTCCTAAGCCTCAAATTATATACAGACATGGTTGAGTGTAAAAGTCCAAGCAAAAGCATTACATTGTCAGATGATGAAGAGTTGGACTCTGTATTGGAAACTTCATTAGATTTGGATGCTGAAACGAAATGCCCCAAGATCAACAACTTAGAAAGGTGTGTACAGTTTATATATCAATCTCACTTTGCTTATTTCAAATGATTCTGCAATTAAGCCTAATGGACCAACAATGGCTGAAGTCAGGGGGAGGGGCAAGGTGTTACTATGATAACAGAACACCATATAGCCACTTGTTTTGCAGCTCTGACTTTCTGTGAAACATGAAAATTAAATTTCTATGGATCAAAATTGGCTATCTTGGTATACCTATATGAGAATATCAATTTTTGCTTTATTTCATGATCTAGCAAGTGTTTAGTGAGAATGTTGGCCTGATTCAAAAAGATTTCATAGCATGTTGTGCTAATAATCATAAATGTGCTGTGATTTACTTTTTCAGAAAAATATTTGTATGTATCATATTTTACAAGCCCACCATCATCGCT